ACGACGAATCATAAAGAGTCAACCATCTTCTTTCTAATTATTATTGGCATATATTTTAGTTATTATTGCTCCTAATAGTTTGCATGGACTTAGAAATAAAATTAGACAAGGTTTAATTGAGGATGTGCCAATCTCAAGGCCTCGTTGTCCAACAGATTGGAAATCGAATCTTCCTGGAGAAGCGGATCAAATAATTGATCCACTTTTTGATGCTTACATCAATTACTTAACAGCCACTGGATATCCTTGGTCTGAAAGGAATTATAATAAACTTTGGCCTGTAGATATTCAAATATGTCCAAAATATATCCTTAGGTAAAACTTTGATTGATTTTAAATTCTTACAGTTGAAAATTAAATTAATTTGCTAATTTGTTAGCTGAATATTGTTAATATATGTATTTTAAGGAGTCATGTAATATATGGACCTGCACTCTTAATGGGTATGAGTTTACCACCTCCGAAAAAAATATTTGCCCATTCATTTCGACAATCGCGAAATGATGCAGAGCCTTTCCGAGTAATTAATTATTATGGTGCTGATGTTTTTCGATATGTCTATTTAGCATATGTAGATCCCTCTAACTCAAATGGTAAATATTTTATGATTATGCTAATCTTTTATTTATTCATGTCATTCTAATTTATCAAAATTTTTTCATTCACAAATAGAATTTTCAGACCAAAATATCAATAGTCGGTATTCCACAGATTTAGTGAATCAACTTGGTCAACTAATTGGTAAATGTTTATCTTCTCAGTTATTCCCAAATGGTCCATGGATTCCAATGTCTCCAACAAACGAAAATGGAATACCTGAAACTGATAGGATTATATATCAGACTTTAGAAAATTTACCAGGTAAACTTTACTTAATTCGTATGTATTTATGTTTTTTTATCTTATATAGTTTCGGACTTTTTGGGTTGTTTCATTCAGATACTGTGGATAAGCATTATGAAAAATTAGAATTCTCCAAAGCTTAGAAACAAATTTGGCTTTCAGTTTACTTTCTGTAGGTTTTCTAATATAACCATTATTCGATCTACGTAATTGATGTACATCATTATTTCTCAGTTTTTCTAGCATAATATCTCGTTGTATATCGCTTTTCATTCCTTGTTTCTTTTCCTCATCAGCAAACACATCATAATCAGCTTGATTTGTGAGATGAGGGTATAAATTATAATATAAATAAGGAGCCCATTTACGTC